ACAGAAGAAAAAGAGGAAAATAATATTTTTAAAGGCTTTAAATTCACAGCAAATAGCTTAACAAGACTTTGATTTAAGAAAATTATAAAAGGATAAAGGGGAATGTATAAATGTGACAGGCTAATATTTTGGCAAAAGTGCTTCTGATGTTGTTTGGAACTAATTAGACAAACAGACCAGACGTTCATGGGGATGTTGATTGTTTGACATGAAAGGGAAAAGACAGCTGGTGGACTTTGCAAGATAAGGAGGCAACTGTGATAAGAGACAGAAAGACCATGGGGTTTTAAAAGAACAAAGAGGTAGTTATGCCCGGAGCATAGTCTACTTTTTCCTTTGGCTTTCCCAGAGCTCTCTTCACCTCCGAGTGTCAGCCCCATGAAGTAGGCCAGACCAAGAAACAGACTCCATGGAAGTCTAAAATGGCTTTTTTAAAGACGGACCTTTTTAGCAGAAACTTACCAGACTGATTGTCATTTACCTCCCCTCCCTCTTATACTCAAGTGAATCAAGGAAGAGTCTGCTGCTTAGAGCTTAAAGAATGCTTCATCCATAATGGTTCTTGGATATTTCCCTGTGGGAAAATGTGGGAAGGGTGCAATTTTCATAGCATAGATTAATGTCACTTCCACATAAGCTATGATCTTGGAAAGCAAAGAATGGTTACACCTGTTTAGAGTATGAATGGGAGACCAATGTTGACATAAAATTCCTCAACAACTTTCTTCCTAGGAACAGTTTTGATAACCAGAAGAACAGTTAAATTTTATTTCTGTTGATATTTATATTTCCCCTTAAATTGCAGTGTCCTGGATTGTCCTCCTAAACCACTGATCTCAACATCTCCTAAACAAGGAAACAGTTTTTGCACAATGGCACAACATTTTATTTTTTCAAAAGGTAGGAACAGCATGTAAACTATATGATATATTATTTTCCATTCCTTTTCTTTATGAGTAGTACCCTCTGTTGCTACTACTCATAAAGAAGACCTTAATTGTTCAAAGATGCGTAATTAGATCATTCCAGAGTTCAAACTCTAGCAGCAGGTCATGCGTTCCCTTTGTTTTTTTCCCTGATGGTGGGGTGGGGGACGATGGGAGAAATGGCATTTTGAAAACATTCAGTGGGTGCATTCACAAAATGTCTGCTGAGGGAATTACTCATGCAAAAAACAGCCCTCCTGGAGATTGTAAAAATGCCAACGCTCTGATACCTGCCGCTTCCTCTGGGCAACGTGGTCCCAGAATGGTCCTTGGTGGGACAGAAGGGATGAAGGCAACCTCCATGTCCTTTAAGAGAACTTTCACCAAAGTTATGTTATTGGAAACCCAAATGCATTTCTGAAAATTAAGAAAAAGTAATAGTGGGAAGTATCATTTCCATTTCAAAATGGTTAGTTTTAAATTAATTACCAGGTCCTAAAATTCTGGGCAGACAGCTTAGAGAGCACCATCAGGGCTGATTATTGGCTAACTAGGGTCTGGGGCAAACAGAGGAAAACCTTATTGGGAGTTCTTTTATTTTTATATACAGAGACCCATGGACAGAAACACACAAATCTAAGTATGAAAGAAGTTTCCCAACACGTTTGCATTTTTGCTGCCTGGTTTTATTGACTGTCATCATGACGTTACCTTAACTGCTTCCTTAGGTGATGCATCGATCTCTGAAGAATATTCCCACCGCAATGATACTTTGCCTCCCAACTCTAGGGAGTAAGTATGCTATGGTTCAAAATATTTTCCTTAGAGGAAGGAAGGCAGCCGTTCTACTGTTTCATAATGTTCCAGAAGCAAAAATTCCTCCCCTGCTCTGCACACAGATGCTGCTGGAATGGGAACCCCTTGTTGAGGTTGGAGGTTACCTAACTCAGTTTGCTTTTAACCCACTTTGGGTGAATGTCCTGAGATACCAGGTTCCCAAGAGAGCCAATGAGGATTTCTGGATTCAGTGCGGGTGCAGGCAAGGGACAGAGTTTCCCTGAGAGTAGATCATTTCCACTTGAGAATTACCAGGCAACCTCCTTTGGCAGATATTGATCTTCTGAAGGAAAGGTGGAATAGGACTTGCACGAATAAATAAGGATTGAATTGGAATACTTATTTGTGGATAAGGATTCCAATTGTTGGAATTGTTGGCATTGTTATAATTGTATTGGACTTGGTTTTGTCTATTGTTTAAGCGTAGCCTTAGTGTTTCTCTGTGTGTGTGTGTTTGTGTGTACTATGGCTTTGCAACAATTAAGATCTGATTTGCAAACATTCTTTCGGAGCATGAGAAACTGCCTACATTTTACCTGTGTACAACCTGGCAAAATAGGTACAACTTTCACCTGCTGCCCAGTCTCACTAAAAGGCAGATTTGTTGTCAAGGGTTGCTGAGGGTGCATCATCTGCCCTTCAGTGTGCTCCAAAGGACTTTTTTGTAATCAAATCCAAAGTGTTGCACTGCTATAGGGTCTTCAAGTGTGTTATAAAAAGAGTTAGGAAGAGAAGATGGGAGGACATGGAAGAGACACTGAACATAAAGTGGAAGAGATGGGTTTCGTAGGAGTCCGTTAGAATCCCTGCCCAAGACAAGGGACAAAACACGCATTACAATATAACATTTAAACCCAAGACATCCTTGCTCCTGTTGTTTTACAAGTCACACGGAGAACAGAGTAGTTCCTCTATTCAGACATTTTCTGGAACATGTGGCAGATCAAAGGAGGTACTCCTTCTCCCCACATGATCTGGAACCTGAATAAAGCCAATCTCTAGATCACATTAAGAGGGGTACCTGAGTTCAGGCCACAATAGCAGCTCTTGCAGATTTTCTCCTAAAAGCACGGATGTTAGAGAAAGGGGGAGACAGAGTCACATCATTATTCCTGTTCTCTTTCCTTTTTCTGTCTCATGGTAAACAGCAAAGTTATACA